TGAACGTGTAATTACATGGTTACGGACAGACATCCTTTGTTGAACACACACATGTCAAAGGTACCAGACACAGCTGCAGTAATACACGCCTTATATAATACCCAAATACTACAGTAGTAACTGGACATATATATATTGTGAAAATACGAGTTTGTTGTACATAAACACCAAACCACTTGACAAGACCAAGCTGTTAATGTTAATGTGCTCTCGTGGAGGTACAATACAAATGTCATATAATATTAAACACTTTAGGTATTGTGGCGATTATGAAACTTGAGAAAAACAATTGTTGGGTACGCGGACACGCCCAATAAGTAATCTTGCATATACGCTGGCCGTGTTTACGCATTCTTTGATATATCAACATATCGTAGAATACAGCTGGGATCTTTACTGAAGATGTTAACCTTTTCAACACCTGACATTCTCGTCCATTTTTTCCGCACCTTTTTTTTCTATTCCTCAATTTCTGGAAATAAACCCTAATTTGGAAGCCAGCAGACACAATTTGAGTCAATTTTCAGTTTTTAACTAAATATATTCGGCTATTTTTGCCCCAATCTCCTGAAGAAAAGTGCAGACTATGATCGGGACTATTTTTTGAATTTGCGATGAAAAAGGGGAACTGGTGGTGAGAAGGTTAAATTCGTCAGGGGGAAATCACGTATGTTTGCCAGCTTGGCAACAATAAACTGCCTCTCACACTTGTTAATATGTGTACCCAGATGTTGTCTGTACATTCCTTGGAGGTATTTTAAAACGAATGTGCTTGCCATCTGTCACATATATAAATGTATGTGTCAATGTGTTGTTACAGTATAAACTAACTATACGCACATTGGTTACGTTTTCACTCTCCAGATTTTTCAACAGTGTACAATGTATCTATTATTTGTGTTTCATAAAAGACGCCTTTATGGTAGTAAAATTGTGAATTGTTCTAAAGATACATCTCTTTAGGATTGCTTATATCAATTATTGCTCAAATTCTTTTATGACATTAATTTAATAAATGATGTCACTCAGAAACATTATCTCTTTCGTACAGGCGATATACAAGAGATTCAAGCACAGGCACACACATTAGGATTCATTTTCTTCGACTTGTGTCATAGTCACTGTAGCAAGTAGCAGGCGGCTTCCTTGTGAAATTAACGTATTGGTATACTGCTTGGAAAGTTCAACCCTTTGTAAAACATAATCATTGTTCTCTATGATCATTGAATCTAATATCAGCTAAAGTTAGCTAATTATGACACCCAGTGAATTCGCTGTGATAGTGTGCACCCAATTACTGCTAATGACCACGTGGATATGACGTGGACCTTTCGGGTATTGATTTGGCTCATCGAGTACTGAGATTCAAACAAAGCTTATCTCTGATGTATGTGTGAACGCAAAGTAGTTGAATTTGAATGTTATTTTTAAACGAAAATGATGATTAAATGTAAGAAATCACGTTACTCATCCCCGTCAATGTAAAAAAGACAAAACCTGCATTATCGGCTTACTCTATCTGCAAACATGTTGTTGTTAATTTTCACATTCTTTGCCCACTTGTAGCACTCGCTTGTTCAAATAACATAAATCACTGCCAAGATCGGAAAATACTTCATCCGTTAATTCACATGGACTGCCTTCTACTCACCACAGACATATTATAATGTAATGTGACGAACTACTGGCACGTAAACTCTCCAAATTACCAGGTATTGACATGTTATCACCGACTAATCACCTACTAATGGAGTGTACAATCAATGATATCAGAAAACGAGGTGTTGTAAACCAATTATTGAGATCATTATTAAGAGGTAAATGAATGGTAATTTCAGAGTTCTATAAATAGCAGGATATTATACTTGAAAACAACTCCAATCATCACGCACTGTTATGTGATCCTAATGACTAATGTATCACCCGAGTACTGTAATTCAACAGCAATGCATCTACCAATGACATCGGCATCTAATCGTAATTTCTTTGTGGCACACCTACAAAACTACAAATCCTTGAGTCTAACTAATCCTACAATATTTCATGGTTTAAGCCAAGCTCACATAATCCGAGCTAACCTTATAGTTAAAGCAACCATATAAAAGTGACATATTCAAACGTTAGTTCGGTTTTTGTTTACTCACATGAGAACGTTCATCTGCCCTGTGGTGACATATCTGATGTTGTGATGAAATTTAAAACTAGAATAACTGAAGCATTATTGAATGACACTTCAGTCATTCTAATGCTGGTATAACCATAATAATAATAATAGTAATAATAATAATGTACAATAAATACCTATTTAATTAAGGTTCTTTTTGTGAATAGTTCTGATCACTAAGATATAATTTGTTTACTCCTGTACCAGGTTGGACAGCGTTAGAAAATTATATTTTATTTATAATTGTAATGTGCTTGCGCAGGCTGGTCCCAATGCAATAACATTGCCGTCGTTCTCGTATACTTGGAGCAAGTATGTATTTTCGACATGTGCGACGTTGGCCGTCATTGTAACAAAGATCATGAACTAACTTGAGGATAATAGTGCATTTTGACATTGATTACAAATGTACTAATTTCACTAGTGACGTATTTATTTGTATTCGCACTGTGCGATCAAAGAGACTGAGTGAATACAGAACGCTCTAGGTATGATAACAATGTGTTATTTTGATATTAATAAAAATGCGTTACGTTGTTATTGTATCAATGGCTCTTGTGAGAGATACGCCTACTTATTGATTATTGTCGGCTGACTTATTTTTAAATAAACCAATTTAAAGCCACGTCATTTTAACATGATCAAAACAGTCTAGTGACAGTCTAGTCAAAAATAAATCCCAAATTTCAGTTTACATCCGCAACTGTTATTACTGAAAACAAAACTTGTTATCAAAACAAGCGGGTAGAGGATTCAGAGAAAAATAACGAGAAATAGCTTATTTTCAAAAAATAACTTATACAGCTGATATTGAGATAACATTACAACATTTTTATATTGATTTCCTATTATTGAGTATTGGTGAATATCTTTGTTTTTGTGTGTCTGCAGATTCAAATTGCGATAACTCCGGGGAAGGCAACTCAGAGGAATACCTGGTACCCATGTTTGAGAATGAGATTTTGAAAAAAGTCCCTAAACACGTTTTACGGTCCAAAATAGTAAACCCTATTTCATTATTTGTTTAAAAAATACCCTAAGTGCTGTGAACGCACATACAAACAAAACGAACGATATGTGATGGTCAATCCCTTGTAACAAGGTGAATTTCATATGTGATGATTTTGATCGTTTTGAGCACCGTGACTGTTTTAAAAAGATTGAAAAGATTACCCCTCCCCGGGGAGAAATAGTATTTGAACAACTCGTCCAGTGTGATACAAATGTGCTGTGTGTAGTCGCAAAACAACGCGCGATGTATGATGGGTAACACGTAGAATACATGGCTCCCATTGCGTAACTTACATGTCTTCGGCCTAACGGAGTAATTTTATTTGCTGAACAACAAAAGTGATATATTAGTCTACGTAAACACGACGTTTACTAAGCATAAATTAAAAGTTCGCAGATACTTGGAGAGACATTAGTATAGACAATGACAATAGACACGATGCCGTTGGGAGATCTACCCATAAACGGTAAAGGCGGGACTACGGGACAGACTGCCACCTTTAACGTGTGAATTGCTTAGTAACATTGTATTCAAAAAAATGACAGATCACGATGCTGAATGTTACCACACTACGAGTGGGCAACTCTTCTTTACACGTATTTTTACGAGGGACACAAATGTTACAGGGTTGAACATTATTTCGAAGGGAGGGGGCTTTGCACTTGCTTTTGTTCGGTTTATGTTTTCAGACAGGTTTGCGTTCTAGATTATATATATATTTTCCTTCAAGTATAATATTGTTTTAATATTGATGCTTGTTTTGATTCCCACGCTAGCCGTCCCATCATAAATAAAGTTCCACCCTTTGACTTGTGAAACAATTGCAACTAACTACACGATTAGCGGACATGTATTCACGTAACTACAACATATCCGTGACATTGCCAATATAAACTGGCCTTGGTCGTGCACGCTGTTATCACAGAAACACGCGGAATATAGGTTACTGCGTATATATTAATCTATTATTGAGTGTCTCTTTCAAGGGCGCCCACGACATTGGGACGGAAACAGACTTTCGAGTAAAATTACACCTCCCTGCCATACAAATTGCGTGTTGTGTCACGGTCCTTTGAATCCCAAACTACGGTCCGATTGAATCGCTGTATAAAACGGAAACATTTTCTAAAACGTTGCGATTGTTTTTTTGTTTGTTGTTTTGTTTAGAATATCCCGCTACTGTGACCGCTGCCTAAATGTGTACGCAGCTGGGAACAGTAAACGCGAAGCCTGGGAACTGTCCTCCCGTATAAATATATACACGGACCAGCGAGTATGCCATAGTGACAAACTGTAAATCAACCCCTTACGTTACCGAACCATACTAACTGTGAACAGGTTTACGTGGTATGGATATATTTCACCCCACTTAAGTCGAGGTAGCTTAAGGGATCAAGACGCATAAAAGAATGTCTTGTCTTTTGTAAAGTGGAACGGAAACAACAGGTAAAGTAACAGAGTGACCGCCAGACCAACCCGTGACCTCGACGTCTTTTCGCAGCTGGGGATTTGAGAAGATAAAGCCGTTCTGGTCGCTAATCGCCAACTACCTGTTGACGCAAATAGTATTGATATCTGTCAATGTTTCGAAGATTAAATAGATGGACAATTGATTTTAACCTAGACAGAGATTTTAATGTTTTTGTTTTTTTATTGTCGGATGGTTGATCATTTTTAAAACAGAGAATGTGTTTAGTAACTTATCGTCTGTGCGACAAACAAGCGGAGTTAGCCATGGGAGGGGGGGGGGTCTTCAAACGCGGCGGCTGAAATATAGTGTTGCCCCACAATTAATAAGTTAGTTACAGAATAGAAGTTACTCACACACATACGCCGACTGGTTCTTCAACCGGTACCTGTCACTTCCAACCGTCTTTGTATTCCTTGAAAACTTCGGGTGAATTCCAACGCGATAGATGCAGGGTCTCAATTGCAATGCACGTCTGAGTCAGTGTCGATTTAAAGCGCTACCGCCGACTACCGTCAATTAGCAAACATACGCGTTATCGTTGACCCCGTCAGCCTTGGGGGTCAATCGACCTATATGCACCATCTAGCTGTCGACATTACTCGGTTGTTAATAGAGGCGGGCCATCGTCCCATGCAGTGAGCGGCTCTCGTCGCGATACTTGAATGGGCCATTTGTCACGTGCCACCTCGCCAGAAATCATTTACATGTACATGGATAGTAGACAGTTATACGAGTACATGTTTTATTATACTTCCGCGGCAACGGTAAAAACGAAAGTATTCGGTATATCCGATGGAAAGTTTAAAAAAACATTAAAATTAAGCTAATAAACACAGGGGTGCGTTGGAAACGATCACGATCAATAAGTCGTCTGCCGAAGATGACAAATATTGGGCAGTAGTTTTCAACCGATGTACTTTGTCGTTGCATTGATAACCGCCGTAACAACGGGCTGTCTACTTGTATACAGTTCGAGTGTGTGGGAAAAGCTGTCCAGGAAAGAAAATGTTCGTACTAATTGTCACGGATCTTTTAACAGTTCCTTGAGAAAACATCGGTCCGAAGTCTTGCGTGTTGATAAAATTGTCACAGAATGTGGTGTGGCTGCTGCAAACATGTTAAACTGGTTGGTTTTGTCCCCGGGTGTACTAAAAAATTGACGGACACGTCATTCATCTCATTTACTTTTTTTCGAAATTTGACCTGTGTCCAGTGTACAACTATACTGTAAAATGACTAATTTTCACTGGGTTTAAATGTCACTGATTAAGCATTTCAGGCATATGGTTTTTAATTCACGGTATTATCATTTAGATAATGTGTTCTATGCTTAATTTTACATATTCAATGGGTTTTAGTTTAGGATCTTTTTCAGTCGGCGAAATAAGCAAATTTAAAACCCAGTGAATAATTAATCTTTTTACGGTATCCAGGGAATGTTTGGAGTGATCGGGATTTGCCTGCAACGGCTTTGTTATTTTTGTCCACCGTGACGAAGAAATCTTGGTTTACATTTTATGCCTAGTATGATGTTGCGGAGTAAAGTAATACAAAGTCACGATAGATATTTTTTAGTAATGTTCTTATTAGCAAATACTTAGCCTATGTTATTATATATAGCGATAACATTTAGGATTTTTATATTACAAGAGTTTTAATGTTTGTTTTTATTAGGTTCTGGACACACGAGACCCCAATACGGCATGGAAAACACGTCATACTCTACCAACGCGTTATCGAACAATGTCCAGTTACGATATGGCGGGAAATGACGGAGATAACGTATCGTACACGGCTAGGAAACATGGCACCGATGCTGTCGGTATTGACCCAATAAACGTGCTGTGGTGAAGTTTTGTTGACTTCATTTGGGGAACTAAGTATATTTTGTAGGCGGAAAGCACCGAATCAAAGTGTTAGGTGGACGGGACTCTTGAGTTGTTTCGACTGAAAAGAACCCTTGTCTGGGAGACATAGTTTGTCAACAACTGTGGTTAACGGTCACATGCTAACGAGGAATGCATTTCAGCGTACGGCGAGGTTGCCTATGTTCAGTTTAGATTGGAAGTTCGCATTCACCCCATAGCGTTAAATCTCGAGAAAAGGTCATTTCAAATTTACGCACCAGAGTCATTTTCGTTATGTGTCCCATGCTTCCTTGCGGAATTTCATATGAATATGGAAGTTTTTGTTGTTGTAGTCGGTTTATTTGTAATTACAAAATTATAGTGAGTATGTTCTTCTGAGTACCGTGACGAATTTGCTTGAACACTGTGAACTAATTAAAATGTAAAGCAGCCTGGCCCGACAATGAACACCACGGAAATGATACATGATCACGTACGATTGAAAAAAAAACAAGTCTAAACAAAATACTAGAAGCTTGAATTCAGTAAAGTCGTGTGGTAAAGCTCACACCAGTTTATAGAACTGCGAATAGGTAAATATTTATGATTTCCGCAATGAAAAATACCACATCCCCGCTAACGTATGACTTCAAAGTCCCGACTAGCCCCAGTCAGCAGTGGAACCTTGAGGAAAACGACAGTTCCTTTCATGTCATAATCAAAGTATTGGCAGTGACCATGATTGAGACGATTGGGGCAATTAAGTTTATGTTCTAACCACAACAATGCATGGGTTGGTTTAAATCACGTCCCATGATGCATTGCGTTACACCTCTCATTTCTGACCCAAGTATTCTCAATCTCACATTGATTTTATTAGTACGCGAGTGTTGTTTTCTTTAATATGCATCAACGTGCAAATATATGAAGGCATTTAGTGATGAGGGCTCTACGTGATGTGGGTGGGTATGTGTGTGTGTGGGGGGGGGGGTGTGAAAGTCGATTCGGCTTCCTATAGTTGACTGTTTTGAGATTTACAGTTACACACTGAACTCTTGTTAGGGGGCAAGGGGGTAGCTGGTACAGTTTTACGGGAAATAAAAAGGGCTTTTTACAATTTAAAAGGAAAAAAGACGTTTTGACAATTTACAGTGAAAATTGAGTGTTTACAGTTTACAGAGAAAATAAAGGTTATTTTACATTTTACGGAAAATTAAAAAAAGAAAACCTAGAAAATTTTTGTACGTACCTGAAAAAATCATATATTTTCACAGTGTAAGAACAAAATATTTGATTGATTACGTTGTACGTCTAGCCTGTGATTACAGAATTACGGAATTTATTTTTTCAATTTACGTTGTACGAACAACAAAATATTGCAATTACGTTGAACGAAAATAACCCTTGCCCCCTCTCTTGTCAGTTACTGGTACTCAAAAGACACTTCATACTAGTATTGTTTACGTTCGAACTTGAGGGATAGGGACAAAATCCCAGGGGACACAATTCCAGTAGAACAAAGGTATTCATTATATCTGGTTAGGAGATTCTACAACCAAATCAGTGACGTATATAGTGTACATGTTGTACATGCGTTAATTTTGAAACTTTGAATATATCAAGTCAATTAATTCTCACCTGAATACTACATCGTTGATTGCGAGTTATTTGTGTGTGGAAAGACCGTACATGTAGTTTTATTGTCATAATGGATAATAAATTAGTATTGATTTAAAAATCCTCGACAGCAATTTATTACGATTTATATCCCCCGAATTCTGTCCACAAATATTTTGTTCCCTGGTGTTTTGTACTTTGGGTTTGTCCCCGCGAATTTGTCATCAGGATTTTGCCCCTCGGAAATCTGTCTTACATTCGCGAACTTGATATTCGCCCAAGAGAAGATGTATCTTGGCAACATCATGAACTTGTGGGTGCCTGTAAGAACATCTTGACTGGAGTGTAGGACAATGTGGTCGTATTTTATCGCCTGTCGACCCTGAAATACGACATTCATCAATGACACGTTTCAAAATTTAATGTGACCATGGAAAATCAATGGCAACGATGGGACAAACACACAGCGTGGGCATGTCACTGTCAATATAGCTCAGATCAGATAACAGAGTTGAACTTGTTCGTCCTTTATTATCGTTAAGTAAATTTACATGTTTTTTATCTTCAGATGTAAAGATGTAAAAAAATCGATGAATTACTTCGATTGGATGTTTTCATGATTATTGAAAATGTTGATATAATGATTTGACCACCATTCATGCTTACAACAACAAACAGAGCGTTCGTCTGTTACGAGTATTTTTCTAAATAGCGCTGAAACAACATTGATTGCTAATTACAGCTGTGAAGTTTGACTAGTTGTGTTTCCATTTGAATTAAAAATGTGAATTGAGAGGTTATCAAATTTCTGGGTCAACATTGACCAGGAAATCGTTGAAGGGCTTGATGATTTTCTTGAGATTTCCAAAATATCCGGATATATAACTTAACGTAATCCCCGGTTGTAATATTGTTTTTACGAGATACACGTGTGTAACTCAGTGTTGCCAAGCAGTGCGTATGCAACAGGTAGTCGTGTACTATATGACGGGCCGGTGATTACAAGCCAGCATTCCATGTATCCACCACGCAAACTATGTCAGCGCGTGCGAGCAATGTAAGCCATGGGGACGGGGTATTCAATACATAATGACACTCAGAACTGCGGTTTTAATTTCCTCTCGACAAACCCTGTTTTTCAAATAATTGGAGATACCATATCGGAATGGTCACGATTTAGAGCGTTTTACTCAGAGAGCTGGATTGGTACTACGTTGATACGATATCTCGCTTAGAACGTATATACAACACAATGTAAAAGCCGACAAAAAACACACAATTACACTAAAGTCAACTAAGGCATTATTTTTAACCCAAACAGCAGTTACGCATTGTAGAAGCCCGAACAGTGACGTAGCTTTATATTGGGAAGCGTCTGCCTGGCTAATCAAATCGTTTCAATTTCTCAATTAATTTGGTGAGCAAAATATTGCATAAGCGCGCAGTTTAGTATTTGGAAATAGTAAGTCCTCATTGCCTCATTTCCCCGACATGCTGCAATGTGGATATTACCCATTTCTAACCAAAGAAGGAACAATTTCACCATAAAAGTTACCACTCGTAGTAATCGACTATAAATTGGCTCACGACATATGCAGTTTGGCATTCAAGCAATTACTAGTATATTCCGCTGTTACTGAGACATGTTATCGATTTTTGTTAGTTTGACCTATGACCTATCACTACAGATATTCTCGTGGTACAGGTGTGTATTAACATCACTCACTCACACATGTGAACGAGGATGTATCTAAAGTACACAGAAGCTATTGTTCCTGTACACACCCAATAAATCAACTGTCTTAACATGGACCCACACTAAGAAAAAAAAATATGTTACGACGTAACACCTGCATTAGTAGCTACGAACAATAATAAATTAGGATAAAGTTGAACATTTAATGGGGATTTTATATTCCTCAAAATGTGCCAGGTCGTAAAGTCCTAGTGCTTGTACAAATAATATGTCAGCATCTCTGATTCACTCGGTTCCGTTCAATAATAGGTCATGATTCCTACATGCTTTCGTAGCGGGACAGCCGT